CTGGAGTCCTCAAGCTCTGGGGCAAGTTAGTCCATCTGCCCAAGGCCTCCATTTCCTTATGAATGAAATTGTGGGGTATGGCTAATGATCATAATATCATAGCAACCAACTTTACAGTAGTAAAGGTGGAATGGGATTCAATTCCTTACCAACTATAAAGTATGGTTTTATAAATTATACGCTGAGAGAGACAAAAAGAAAAACAACACCACAAGAACGATCACTGAGACTTTGTCTGCCCAAGGCCTCCATTTCCTTATGAATGAAATTGTGGGGTATGGCTAATGATCATAATATCATAGCAACCAACTTTACAGTAGTAAAGGTGGAATGGGATTCAATTCCTTACCAACTATAAAGTATGGTTTTATAAATTATACGCTGAGAGAGACAAAAAGAAAAACAACACCACAAGAACGATCACTGAGACTTTGATCTAGTATTCCCCAGAGGAAATAAAATGAATAGGAAATAGTAAATTTTGTGGGAAAGTTAAGTGGGCAGAAGCTAATTAAAGCAACAAGCTGGGACGTCAGTGGCCCATGCCTTTAGTCCTAGCACTCAGGAGGCAGAGGCAGGCAGATTTCTATGAGTTTGAGGCCATCCTGGTCTCCATAGGGAATCCAGGCCAGCTGTGGCTACAGGGAGACCCTGTCTCAAAAAGATTAAAACAACAACAACAATGGTTTGCATATAATGTAGACACTAACTCCTTGTGAGGACTCTGAGTAACAGGAGGGCAATTGTGGATTTTAACCATGTTTCAACTGTGTTGATCTTGTGGAAATGAGGCATTTAAGTCTGCTCCAACAATATGCTGCTGAGCTCTTGGAAACCAGGAAAGAAACTTCCCATACACATGGTGAGATCAGACTGGGTGTCATGACTTCAGCCAGTCTTCATCAACCTTTCTGTTGGAGCCACGCCTCTCTACATCCTGCAGCACCAGAACAGCTCGCCTTAGAGAACCATCCTATCTGCCAGTGACTTCTGTCCTTTGTTTCCTAGAAACTCAACTTGATATCCAGCACCCGAGCACTGAATTACTTCATTTTGAATGCTTTCACCCCAGATACCGTTTGCTTTTGTCAACAACCAGAAGAAACAGGGTTAATAGGCATCCCCCACCAGGCAATACTTAGAGAGATTCTCCCACCATTGAGTCTCCTCTTCCCCACAGAGAAATGCCACCATCAATTTGTCATTGTGTTTATGATTAGTTGCTTCTCCCAACCCAGTAGCAGCTACCCTGGGGTCTGCTGATCCGGTGCCCCCTAGCAGGGAGTCCTATCTTGGTCAAGCGGAAGCAGCACATAGATCGAGAATTTACCTAGTGGTCTGTCTATGAAGCAGAGTACTGTGTGTCCCAGGGAGAGGAAGAAAGCCAGGATGAGTGGTATTTTATACTCCCATTCTACTCCTAAGAAAACGTAACATTAGAGAAGTACGATTCAAACATCTCATTGTTTTGAAAAACTCTTTGCCACTAATTGGGAAATAAATTGAATGG